AGCACAGATAAGAAAGACTTGCCTCAAGCAAAACATTTTTTTTGTATTTTTAAAATTTTTATTTTGACTTAAAAACTGGTGAGCAGAAAGCGATAAGGTCATGGAACAGTCTATGGGGTCCCGAGATTTTTCCAAGACCTCTGATTTTGGGCGACACTAGATTTACTTCTAATACGAATAAATAAATACAGAAAAAGAGATGCAGAAAGAGTAAAAAAATACCAGACCAGGGCATTGGCCCAGGACCCTCGAGGCTTCGAGGCCTCGTATCAGGACCGGCTGAGTTTATGTCGTCCGTCCTCTTTATCTCTCTTCAGGTTTTGATAAGGCCTTGGCTTGGTTGGATGGATTTCTTAATCTGAGGGTTACAGGTGGCCTAAAGCTGAGGTTTTCTTAGATCTAAGTTTTTCTCAGGTCTCACAATCTCAAAGTTTTTTTTGGGCATACAAGCTAATAAGGTCTAAAGAGTCCAACATAAAATTAACCCGAAATGACATTTTTATAATCTAAAAATCGTTTAGAATGGGTAACAAACCATAACCAAAAGATTTTCCAGCCTAGACTGCTGTTTTAATGGTCCAAGGCTTGGGTGACACTACACTACCAGTATCGCCCAAACCAAAATGGTACAAGTTCATTGAACATGGCAAAAAATGATTCGGGAGGGTTTGACATGCAGAAACTGGGCGACAATTGTAGACTGGAATCGCCCAGACCAAATATGCTCAAAATTGGCACATTCCAGTTTAGGGTGATTTTGGGACTGTGGCGGTGCCTGCCAAAAATGAGCTGCTTTTGGTCAGTCTGGGCTGGGTGACACCACTAGTGTCGCCCAGACCAAAACTGCTCAAAATCGGTAGATTCCTATCTTTGCTGATTTTAGGGCTGTTAGGATGTTGCCTGCCAAAAATCAGCCAATTTGGATTAGTTTGGACTGGGCGACACCAATGGTGTCACCCAGACCAAATATGTCTAAAATCACTAAATTCCAGTTCTGGGGGGATCTACGGGCTCTTGTAATGCTGCCTGCCAAAATTTGGGTCAAAACGAGATGTTTTGCTATTTTTAATTATTATTTTTTTACTAAAACAGGGTATTCTACAGGATTTTGGATCACAGGGTAGGCATATGGACTATGGTGGTCTACGATCAGGGGGTTTACTAGGATAGTATGTTCCTAAGGGTTCAAAAATATTATAGAATTTACCAATTTTAAAAATTGGGTGTCTACATGAATCTATCACATCCCTACTTATGAAATTGTGAAACTTGTGAGTAGTGATCCATTGCCAAGTTATCCAGTCTTTATTAATATTTATCAAAATGTGCAAATTGTTTGATCCAAAGCAGAGGTTTCAAATGCAGTGAATTTGCCTAGTGTAGATAAGTGAAATTCTTTCTGAGAATCAAATGGAGTTTAGTGCATGAATTTGTTTTAATTCGAAGTAGTTTATTAGTGCACATCACTTGTAACATCCTTGCTTATGAAATGTTTAGGATTTATAATTTTGTTTAATGCATATGAAATGCTCTGAATCTGTGACATCCTTGGTTATTAGTGCACATCACTTGTAAGTTGTAACATCCTTTTTATGAAATGCTATGAATTTGTAACATACTTGGTTATTAGTGCACGTCACTTGTAACATCGTTGATTGTGAAATGCTATGAACTCTAACATCCTTACTCATGAACGCACATAACTTATCTTTTCTAGCATACTTGTGTGGTTGAAAATTGATTTTTTTTAGGCCATTTCTTAAATTACATAGATGTGAGATTAAATTTCAATATTAACCATGCATTATAACAAATGCGTTAGATAGGTAGTAGCAAGAAAAACTTATTCAAAAAGTATATATTACACGCATCAAATCATGAAAATACATTAATGCATAGTTAAAACAGGTTGTTTTGTGTTTTCCCAACATAAAATTGGCTTTTCCAATACCAAATAGGCAAAAATAGCAATACCACAGTTTATCAAACAGGGTTCCTATCTTTCAAGCGACCAATTTTTACTTTCCTCACATATTCCAGGAAAGTCAGCAACACGAAGAATACCAGAAAAACTTCAGCGAAAGTTATCAAAAACAGCCTTAGACAAGCTTTAAAAAAAAGAGAAGCAAATATTGTGGCAGGTTTTGGACGAACCTAGCCATATAGTATCTTCAAGGAACGATCTAGTCCCCGCTAATTCCCAACAATTCAAGAATTGGATTGCAAGATTTCGAGCTCATGAAATCTTTATAGTCCGTACTAGAGTGAATGAAGGACTCATGTAATCTAGCCGAAGTATATATATATATTTTTTCATGGCTTAGGTCATTTATATGTAGTCTTTTTATAATAAAACAACTTCAAATAAAATAAAGAAAAAGAATACAACTAGGATCTCAAGAACTTAAAACCATTCAAAACCTTTATTTTAATAACAAAGAAAAAATACAACCTATGCTTGGGAATAAAATACATAATAAGTAAATATGTAAAAAATAAAAGAGAGTGCCAAATATTATTCAACCAGGCTTCTTTCGATAGCACGGGAATAATGGTCAACTTTCAACTCAAACATAGATGAACCCCTTTTGATAACCTAGTTGAGAGATAACATCTTTTTTTGTTTTTTTTGAATGTTAACAATAATTATTCATTAATAAGGAAAAAAACTCCAATAATACAGTTACAAAGAGATCATCTCTTCTACCATACCCTGAACCCTTAGCCACAACACAAGTTGAGAGAAGGGAGAGATGAGAGAGCTCTAAGAGACCAAGAGAGTGGGACGTGCCCCTTTGTTTGCAAAAGGGAGAGAGAAAGTTTCCAAGAGAGAGGGAGAGAGGTTTCTAAGAGTGGGGTGTGCCCGCTATATGGGATATGATAGCGAGATGGAAACTTTTTGGTGCAGAGAATATTGGGTAGGGTGTTCCCCTATTTATAGTGCTTCAAGGGTTTTAGGGGTTTCCATGGCTTGCCTCATCATGTGAGATTAAATATGCAGCATTGATCTTGGGTAACTTGTGGGGTGAGAGATATGAGCCATCAATTCCATAGATAGGCCATCAAGATCATATGAAAGGTGCTAAAACTATTATCTCTCACTTTCTAAACCATTTTCCCATCAATTAATTCAAATAATAAATTAATATATGATAATATTATGCTTTTTATTTTATGCTCAAGCCTTCTCACATGTACCAATACTTTGATTCAAAATTTCCTGAAGGCACAAACTTTCCAAAACACAACTTTCTTATCCCTCAAGCCAAGAGCTTGAGCTCTTCAAAATTGGAAAGCCCTCAAGGTGGAACATGCCACCCTAGGTGGCACACAATGGGCCCCACCCAAATTGTTATAGTGGGCTTATTTATATTATTGGGCTTCCCATGCAATATAAAATACTAAAATTAATATCATGATTTTTAAAAATTTATAAAATTATATTTGAATATTTAAATCAATATAAAATTAACATATATGTTTATACAAATACAAATTTGACAAATGAAATATCCAGCGATTTAAAAAATTCAATTAACATTTCTAAACAATCATATAACATTAAAACAAAACATAATTAAATATAGTGATGGAAAAATGATCCGTATGGTCTAGAAACAAATATATACTAGGGCACTCTATTTTCTACTGTAGACCACGGTTCACACTTGCTTTTTCAAACTGACACTATGTTGCCCATGACCCACAATCGATGCAGGAGATCATTAGTGGGTCACCAAAGTCTAGCCAATGGGCAAGGGGTTGTAGTATTAGTCTATGGATTTCAGGTTCTCTCCTAAAGACGAAATTAAAGTTACCTAGACCTGATGCAATCCATTGCTCTATGGTGCATAAGGGTTTATCTCTCGCACATGCACAAACTTCACACTGAAAGGTGATTCGCTTTATTGAAAATGACTATTATTATGCATGTTGTGTGATAGTATGCAAATGAGGTTTTGGCCCTATCTCTGAAGGCCTTTAACACACAATGGTTACACAGTCCTCACTCTTCCGGCCATACTCAAATCACATCAAAGGATGACCCTTTATAACCTTTATCGATTTATTTTTTATGCTTAGATAATATGGGTTTTTTCCAACTAGATTGGTCTAGCTTGTAAAGCTCAGTCCGGTATCAGCAAACATAATTTGCTTAATATGATCAATACAAGACCATATTCCCACTAAGTTTATATTCCACTATATATATTTATTTACAAGTTAATGGCCACACACACCCAACACAGAGACTATGTGACATAAGCTTTTATCATATTCAAATGAGACACACCCATTATAGAGACTATGGGACATAAGCTTTTATCATATTCAAAAGAATAAATAATGCTTCTATGGAGAGTGGGTAATGAGATTCTACTCTCCATCGGATAATTGATGGAACAGAAACATGGTAGTAGACCAATATAAATCGCTTATGAGAAGGCTTACGCTTAAAACCGCAAGGGTTGAGCTCAATTTTCTCACCTACTCTTTCAAGTTAGAAAATCACACACTATCTCTCCATCAAATCCATAGTGACGTGGATTAAGTTATTTTTTGACCCACCCCAGCTCAGGTGGCATTATGACGGAAAGGAGCACTGTACTTGAGAACTTCGAGGTAATAAAAATCCATTTTTGAGACATTTCATTATAACATTATTAAAAGCGGTCTGCACATAAAATTTTCCTTTTAAGATTTCTCCCTCCTCCAATTATGCAGGAAAGTCTTCTCTCCCTTTCTAGAAGCCGTGTACAATTCGCGGTTAAGTTCTTCACTGCTCCTTATTCGAAACGGAAAACGGATCACCGTTCCTTTGTACACGCAACAACGTGGCGCTGCGATGGCGCCAAGTTTCAATTTTCCAATCAAATTTCATCCCTCTTTCTATCTCTTCCCATTGTCTCAAGCCCCGCTTCTCTCTCTCCTCCTTTGTCCATCCCCTGTCTCCTCTTTCTCTCTCTTGAACGCCTGCATTTGGGCTTTCTGGAAGCTCCGCCCTGAATCTCATAAATCTTGCCGAGGACCTGAGGATTCCAGGACTTCTGCATCTCTCTCTCTTTTTCGCCTATGGATTGCTCGTATGCTTTGGAGAGCTCTGGTTCATTGCTCCATCTATTGATTCAAGCAGCTCTGCTTGTCTCTCCATGGCAATATTTTCTAGGGATTTCAGTTGTGTTCTTGATTTTCCTTTCCAATTTCATGGAATTCCATGTATTTTCTGATATGATGCGAGGCTTTAAAGGAGATCGCGTCAAGCTAACCTTCAATCTTGCTTCAGAGATGGCCAATGGTTTGCTATGGAAGTGTCATCATCTTCACGGGAGGTTGGTTCCTGGCTTGTTTGATTTCTCTTCTTGTCTGATATTAGATTGTTTTCTGTTACTGTAAATTTTTATGTTTTTTATGAAATTCGGTTTCTTTTCTTACTGTGAAATTGTTTCCTGTTACTGTAAATTTCTGAATTATATTATGCGATTTTGTTTGTATTCTCTCTGTAAATCTTAAATATTTTCTTACTAAACCTCTTTGTTTTGTTGCTGTAAATTGCTGAAATTTTTATCTCAATAAAATGATTGTTGTTTTTTGTGCAGGTATACAGCGACACCATGGCTAGCTAGTCCTCATCTTCAGACTGCTTTTCTCCATTTCTTTGGCCGCCCTCCGATTTTTGAATATAAAAGGTGAGCACTGAAATGCCATATCATATCTTAAAGCAATTTCAGTTTTTTACAGTCTGTTATCTACTTTTTGTTTAAAAAAGTAGAAAAGAGTGGTTCCTAGGCTTTCTTTTCTGTTCCTTATACTCTTCTGATTGTCTTTTTCATTTGGGATTCAGTGAGCATGTACTTCTGTGTAAAGGCTCTTTGTGCTTTGATTCCCAAATATCCTAAAAAAATACTACGATCATTTCTTCGTTATTTTGAAAATTAACAGAATATACTATTAAAATATAATAAATGGGCAAGTTTTTCAAAACAGCATATGAATCAATCCATCCTGATTATGCAGCAAAATGATATGCGTAATCTTTTTTTTCTTTTTCTGAGGGTTATAAAAACCATGTCTGCTTCACATTTGTCTTCGTCTAACCATGTGATATTGTTCAATGCAGACAAGAAATGTTAAGTGGGCAGTGTCCTAGAACATCTAGACCTTTATTCCCCCATGCTCTTTTCCCTTGCATGTTAGCTTTTTCATTCTCCGCTTTGGGAATGCAGTATGGATAGGCTAATTTTGATGTGTTCCTGCATGATAACTATGATTGTGACACTTTCCCCTATCAAATGTCTAACTATGATTGTGACACTTTCCCCTATCAAATGTCTAACTATGATTGTGACACTTTCCCCTATCAAATGTCTTTAGAAAACCATTGACAGAACTCTTAATACTTGTTCAAAGGGTCTATGAAGATGTTTTAATATTTCGATAATTATTTTTGGGACAAAGCAATATAAGAGGATAATGTCTAACCTTTGGCCTTTTGCATAAAGTGCAGTGGAATCAGTGTTAATTTCTTGTGAACATGGCTATCGCTATTTCTTGTGTTTGTATTTCTGTAGGAATTTGCAATTCTCAGAATATATGGATTTCGACCTGGTTGTTGGTAAATGATCGGGACACCCAATAACAGATAGTGGATAGTTGTTTGTCTGTAACGCAAGAACGTTGAATTTCTCTTTTGTGATTACTTGTAATGCTAAACAGAATCATAAAGTTGTTCACCTTGTTGTGAAACTACTACTCGAATATTACTGTCATAACTCTGTTCCATCCTATAGTTAGATTTTCAAACATTGGTTCATCATTATTCTCTTGCTTGTCATAGAAACAATGTGCTATGGCATAATTCACGTATTGTGAATGTGTTTCTTTGCTCTTGTTGGAAAGAATAAAGGGTATTTGGTCCTGTGGACTCTATGCTGGACTTCTTGTCCCCCTATGTGCTGACTTTTCCATGGTAACTCTGTGCAACCGTGCACACCCATAGAATCCTACTTTGTTACTGTGTTTCCCTTGCAGGGCATGGTAAGGTAAGCTTTCTTTTAAGGTGAAAACTGATCCATATGCGCTACATGTGTGACAGATTTCTCACTTCTCAAATTACTAGACACCAATGTGGCCTCATTTTGTAATTTCATTTTACTTATCACATTTTACCTTTGAACTGTACATTAGTTTACATGAATCTGTAGTGACTATTTGATTATGGTATTGAAGAAATCGTTGCACATGTTCCGTTTTTTAGATTTGTGATAATTTTCAGTAATTGCATTTGAACTTGGTTGAAACTGCACTAATTGCATACTGCACAATGCGTAATAAGCAGATGAGTTGAGGTCTTGAGCTAGTATGCCCGAGTGTTATCATATTTATGACAATGATATCTTATCAATTGGGGCCACCATCACCTAATGTTGAACTCTTTGTTACAGGCAGATGTTTAGCTTGGGAGATGGCGGAACTGTAGCTTTGGACTGGCTGATGTCAGATGATGGTTAGTGTCCTATCATGGTTGGAACTTGGCATTCTTTTTTGACCTTATCAGGAGGACCTTGTACTCCATAGGTTCATGTCTTATGCTTTGGGTGCATCTACTCACCCCCCCCCCCACCTTCTCTCTCTCTCTCTC